TATTTTTGAACTTTCTGCCTGATCACATTGAAATTAAAGTCACAGTTCTCACAGTGCTGGTTACAATTACAAAACTTTACAAAATCTTGGACCTATTAGAAGATGTCACCCTGTTACGTGCACTGTTGGCGGCTGGTCTCTCCAGCATGAGAAAATGGGGTTGATAGCTCATTGGTGTCATGTACCTACTACACATTTACTCAGCTGGATTTCTAAAGGGAAAGATAGATTATTTTATTGATAGGTTTTTAACACTGTTTGATAATTATCATTGGATTTGATACATTTGGATGTTGAAGAAAATGTCACTTCACATAAATTGTGTAATTTATAAATCTATAAATGTCTGTGTATTAAAAATAATTATACCAAATATCTATGCTTAAGATATGGATCAAATACTAGAGGTTGCCAGGATTAGAAACTGTTTCCATTATCTGAACAGTGACTGGGCAAAATCATATCTGAGTAGTCATTAAAAAATTTAGTGATATTTTTATCTATTTTCAAATACCACTCTAAACTTTATAGTGTTTAATCTAGCTTACTTGTTAAAGGAACATAAAAAGAGGCATTAGGAATGTATATTTAGTGTAGCACAGCCGTTAAGATGAAGAGTAATGGCAGGAAAGCCTTAGCTCTCAGATTCTCCTGCTATGCTAATGTCACCAAAATCATATTACTGGGTTACAGGTGTTCTTCCTTGGCTGTATGGGCAGGAGGAATGGTTCTTTTTGCCCCACAGAAGCAGGTCTTCTTACTCACTGAATTCACACATGGGTGGCATTTTATGCTCACCCACAGCAGCATGAATTGATGCATTGCTGAGGTCTTTGTTCTCTGTGTCAGGGCTCAAGCACACAGGTTAGTGTGTCCCCCATGCTGGTCAGTGTAGGGGTCTCACTCAAAGGTCAGGGCCATAGGCCAGACTAATTGAGTTAGATCTGTTAAACACCTCCATAAGGCATAATACATCATCCTGGTTAAAAATGCCGCATTTTTCAGAAGAAAATTAAAATTTTTTGAGTTATTATTTGCAACACTATGCTTTCTGGTGAAGCATAGTAAAAAAAGATCTATTTTGCAGGTGGTGGGAAGTCTGCTAGGCTAGTAGAAAAGAAACTGACTGGATTTGTTCCTGTGTTTGTTTGTTTACTTAAACTAGTGGTTTTCAATCTGCTAATCACCAGTGGCTGTTGTCTTTTGAAGAAACAAAAGCACAAAAGTACCAAAATTGTTTATGAAAAGCTCTTTTGTGGACCAGTGGTCTAAACTTTTTCAGTATAAAGGAAGCCTTGTCTAGTTTACAAAAAGGTCTCAGGACTGTATCTCCAGCAGAGATTTTAACACTCTATGTAAGAGTAAATTGGCTTAAACAGCCAAGGAAGATTTACAGCCAAGGGTTACTTTTTTCACTTGGCTGATGATCAAGAACAGCAAAAGACTTCCAGAAAAAGATAAACTACAGTAAAACATTGTCTCTGTGGAGCATCTTTTCCCTATATATTTAGTTGGGGGGCATCTTAGACATGTGGTTAAGTAAACGTGTGAATAACAGACATTGTTGTTATAGGGAGAAGAATGATTTGTCATTGGGTTCACCTTTCTTTATCAGGGTGACTTTCCTTTGCCAAAGACTCCTTAGTTCACTGACATTAAGAAAAGTTATAGAAAAACAATGGTTGAGATTGAGTGAATCACATAAACACATAGCTGTATGTATCCACATATTGCAAACAGAACAGAATGTGTGTCCCCTAAACTTCAGTCACCTGTTCATGATAAGCTGGTAACAGCCACGTCTCATCTGGGGTTTCTCTCCATACCTATTTCTCTCCAGTCAGGGATTTGCAAGTGTTCTTGAGGGTTCCTTGGCACTTAGGCTAACAGAGGACAAATCATAAGTATGATTTCTTAGCTGCTAGAGACAAGTTCTTGGAACTCCAAGGAGGTGTTTGCAATTTGTAATTTTGTCTGCAAAGATTTTTCTTAGAAGAAGTAATAGTCTGATCTCCTCTGCTAGCAATATGTTCCATTATTAGCATAAACCACAGTTCCAGGTTGTACCAATAAATAATGGAGAGGGACACTTTCAAAAGGAGATTAAAATGTGGGGGTTGGGTTGCATATTTTTGTTTTCTACCTTGCTGCTGGCTACTTGCATGGTCAAAATAAACCTGGTTATGAAGCTCATTCCATAAAACAGTCGTTGGTTTGACCCTGAGCAAAGTGTTCCCTGTGCTGTAATTCCAATTTAGTAACATCTGGTCCACTTGGGAAGACAGATACCCAGGCAAGCCTGGGTTCTTGCCTAAACTTGGTTTTCAAAGGGGTGCGTTCTTCTGTTATCATTTACCTATCCAAAAGATATTAAATCTCTACATTCACATATACCACTTAGGAACAGTAATTTTGCAACTTTTTTCCTCTTGGAAAACTTCCAAATCAATATTTTTGTTCTGTTTGAGGCAAAATGGGAACACATAAAAAATTACTTTGTTCATATCCCTTTGTAGCCTGGGGCCCTTTGAGCAACAGTCAGTATGCAAAAATTAATATATGACTGAAAGAGAATGGTCTTTCTGTGGTTTTCTGATGATGGCTGAGGAAAAATAATGCCAGGAAATAGTAGTTTCATAATTTGTGAAAAATTATATGGCAGTGGGTATCTATTGAGTCCAGTCTGGAATATTTTGTTCCGATTGCAGTTAAAACTGCAGCTTGTGCTCTTATAACTAGCTGCCAAATCTAAAACTTGTTTCCAACTGCTGGGCATCAAATTGAGCATGTGTGAAACAAAACTCTTGGAATTAAGTTTAAATGAGTGAATCTTAGACCTTATCTATCATTTATTTGTCTCATGTGTGCACACACAGATATCACAGGCATTTTTATTTAATTATTTAAGAATTGCCATGTGACTTGCATTAGCTCCTTCCTTTGGGTAGCTTGCTGACAGAATAGTGCAAAGGAGCAATATCTAATCCTCATACAGCTAGAACTGTTTGTGAAGAGAAAGATCCTATTAAACTGGCCCTGTCATGTGAGCAGAAATCACAATTAATAAGAAGTACTGGTTCTTAAGACAGAATATAGCTGTGCTCATACCACCAAATTCAGACTGCCGTTGAGAGAGTCATAAGGTTTCATCTTAATTTCAGAGTAAATCTCTGTGCATTCGGTCTGTGTCATTTTGATGGATACAGAACTGTGCACTGCTACAAGGCCAGGACATGTATTTATTTATTCAGGAAAATATATGTCACAAAAACATTCATTGTAAAAGACTTAGTGTGCTCTAATGGTCTGATCCAGCACCACTGAAATCAATGGGAATCTTTCTTTCCATGTTGGTAGTGCAGGAGTGTGCCAGCAGTACAAGAAGCATTCCTCTGGCCTGAAGTGCCTGGCACAAATGTCAAAATCATTAGGAAAATAAAAGGCTGACAAACAAGCAACCCCATAGACATGCGACAAATTTGGAGGCAACTGAAAATACAGCTGTTTTCTAAAGTTTATATGTGAAAAATGTGTTCTGAGTAAAATGGGTTATTCCAGCTGTATGTCTATGCTCATTTGTATTGTTAAAAAAAAAAAAAAAATGAAAGAGTCGTAACAGAGGAGTTCATAAAAATGGACCTTAAAAACAGCTGCAAAAAAGGGTTGGTTAGCAGTGTACTTGCCTTTTATATTGAGCTTGCAAAACAAATTTAATTTATTCAAATTTTCATTAATTTTACCAGATTTTGATTTATTCTGCTTTAAGTAGCACCTTAAAAAAAAAAAAAAAAAAAGTGGCAGAAATATTATTTTCTGGTTTTTAATGAATGAGCAGCCTGCAGTATAAACACTTGTTTGGTGTCATTACTTTAATGAAGAACTGCAAACCACACATTTTGGTTGCAGCTAGTTTCACACGAGTACTTCAGTCCTGGGAATTTTTAGGGTTATGCCATGAAGTGAAGCAGCCCAAGGGATATGAACCATAACTCTATGTACAGAACAAAAATGTGCCTGTGTGCATGCACAACCGTGAGCCTCTAGCAGCATTGTCCTTTGCCAGTACAGTCAGGACATGATGTGTGACCAAACCTTCTGTCTTGGGAAGTCCCTTCCTTCAGATGTTCACTATGGGGAACATCCATCTCCTTGTCAAGGAGGCTCCTGGCCCCGTTTAGCCATGGATTTGTTGCCACAACATCATCATAACTTGCCTGCCCAGCTTTTGGGAGTGGTTTCCCAGGGTTCCCACCAACCTCTGCTGAAGCTTCCATCAGCAGTGGCTTCCCAGTCCCTCAGCAGAAGTCTTCAGAAGAAAGCCTTAAGCAGAAGGGCACCCGAGGGGATGGAAAGTATTACACAGAGTAAAAATCTTCTTTGTTGCAGACCTTTTGACTTGAGACATCCATCTTCATCTTCTCTCTGTGTTCGTTTTACCCAGCAAGCATCCAACAAAGACAAATTGTTGTTGGTGTCTGGGGTTGGCTTCCAGACAGGGACCCAGTGCACTTCACAGGCCCCCTTGAAGCCTCTCTCCCCGAGTCCCATAATTGGTTTTTCACCCCAAAGTCCAACACTCCGCAGAAATCCAGGGCAGAAAGAGGCTTGTCCAAAATAAAAGTCCTGTCCACAAATAAATAAAATCACCTTCATGTAAATCCAGATGTCATACCTCTCCACATTGCTGTTTTGCTTTCCCACGCACAAATGGGGAAAAAGTCTAAGCTTGGTTCCTTTGTCCGCTTTGATACTGTTATTTTATCTATGGGAACATTGCCAATCTTTTTTGTGCAAGTATCCGAGCAAAAGACCCAGGAATCCTCATCCCTTTTGCCAGAATTAGTCTTTGGTCAAACCCAAGCACCTTTCTGAGCTTCAACAGGTCTTGAGGTTTTGCATGTGGTGAGATTTGTTCCAAACAGATTTATAATGATGCAATTTTTTAACCATGAGATACAATGAAGACTGAGAGGGCTAAATGCACTGATTCTGGCCCGAGATGCTGTAAGAGGCTTTATATTGTCTACGGACATGTGAGGGGAGCTGGGAGTCAGCATAGTGGCCACTGGCCAGTCCTGGGCTGCCAGGGAAATCCCAGCACCTCTGCAGCTCAAAAGGGAAGAGGTGCTCCTCTTAAGACTTTATTTCTTTTTAAATTTTACCTTGCCGTTTTTTCTGTCAAAACCAGATTTTTTACTAAATCAGTCACATCAGGAAAAGAAATGGGAATGAATGAATGAATGAATGAATACATGAATGAATGAATGAATGATAAATACAAGCAAAACCAGACTCTTTTTTGCAGCAATTTTGCAAAGGGCAGGGCAGAAGACAAGGACACTTCTTTCAAAATGGGATCTTGGATTCATGCCATGACCATCCCTGACCCTTCCTGTAAGAGGAAGTTTCCCTGTTCTCCCTTCTCGGGGTTTCTCCCCTTCTGTACCAACGCTGCCTGAGCCCACGGATCTGTCTTTTTAAATGCAAAACGAAGAAAGGGTCGGGAGCACGGGGCAGCCCCTCCACGCACCCAGCTCCTCCCGAACCCAGGAGAGCTGGCAGAGCCGGTCGCTGCCCTGCCTTGGGGAAGCGGCGCTCTCCGCTAACTCCTAGCTGCACCCCCCCGCTGCCTCGGCCCGGTTCGAACCGAGCAGCGGCGCTCCGGGCCGGCGATTTTCCCTGAATCCCCATAAATAAAACTGTACATAAAGTTGCAACAGAAAAAGCAGCGGAACTGCACAGCCGCGGTCCCGGTGAAGGAACAGCCGGTGCCCCGCCGGCCGCAGCTTCCAGCCCAGCCCCGGCGTCCCCGCGGGCCCCTCCGTGCGGGCGGCGGAGCCTCAGGCGGGGCCGCCCGGGACAGCCGCGGGCACGGCTGCGGGGGCGGCCAGCGCCTCCCGCTCCCGCTTCTTCTGCTTCATGCGGCGGTTCTGGAACCAGACCTTCACCTGGGCGTCGCGGAGGCGCAGCGAGCGGGCCACCTCGAGGCGGCGGGCCCGCGACAGGTACCGGCTGAAGTGAAACTCCTTCTCCAGCTCCGTGAGCTGCCGGGTGCTGAAGCTGGTGCGTGCGGAGCAGGCGGGAGGTTCCCCCCCGCACGGCGCCGCACCGCCTGCAACGCCGAAAAACACCGCGCTTCAGCGGGGGCAAAGGCGTGGGGTCGAGGCAGGAAAAGGGCAGAGGGGAGCCGGGATGGGAGCAGCCCCCGCCCGCTCCCCGCCGCCCCACTCACTTCTCCCGGGCGGGCTCCGCTTCGCTCGCATCCACTCGAAGGTGCGGGGCGCCGCCGGGGCCGCCGCGGGAGCCGGGCAGCCGGGCGCGGGGGCGGCCCCGGGGGAGGGCGAGAGGCGCCGCAGCGCCCAGCGCCGCGGGGGCGGCGGCCGCGTACCCCGGCGCCTGCGGCCGGGACGCGGCGCTGGCCGTGGTGCCCAGCGCCAGGAAGGCGTCGTCCTCTCGTCGGGGGTACGGGACCTGCGGGGCACCGCGGCACAGCCCCGGCGGGAAGGCGAGAGCAAAGTACCCCAGGTCCATGACCCACGGGGCACCACGGCGCCCCGCCGGGGCAATATTGCCCTAATATAGGCCCTGGAGCGGGGCGGCACGTCCCGCCCCGCGGCCAATGGGAGCCCGGAGGGGGGAGCCCGAGCCGGGGGTCCCGGGCGCTGCCAGTTCCCCTGCCCGCGGCCGGCTGCCCGGGGTTTGCGCGGGGCTGCAGGTGGGCAGCCCGCCGCACCGGGATTGCCCCGGGACAGGCCGTTCCCCCTGCGCTCGACGGAGTCGCCGCACACTTGGGACGTTTGCCGGGAGTTTAGCAGGTGAGTGAGCTGGCGCTTTCCCGCTATCCGGGCTCCCGTCCGGGTACAGGTCTGCGCTCTCCCTTGCCCTGCAGCCGGCCAGACTCCTGGGGGCTCCCAGGGGAGCCCACGCGGGCACACCCAGGTCTCCCCACCCGGAGGCTGGGGCGAGGGGCGGGTTGCTGCTGCACCTCATGGCACTTAATGGTCTCGTTCCATCAGATAAGTGCTCTGCAGCCTCTCAAAAATGAATCTCCTCACCGTTAACAGGCTCACACCGTTAATGGACTTTTATTTTTCCCTTGGCGATTCAGCATTGTTTACTGAGTGTTTACAGCTGGCAGAGAGCACCAAGTTGCTCTACCCAGCCAAATCGTCTAACTCTCTCTTGGTTTTCAATCCCCCAGAACAACAGGAAACGGCAACAAGGTGAAGGAGGCGAAATCTGGACTCCCGATGTGATCTTCTTTCACTAAATGTCTCCAAATGACACTTGACCATCCAGTCTGAGCCATGGTGATGTTTGATTTGGGTAATGATCGGTTTCATCCAGTGCATTGATAACCATGTGATATAACCATGTGTCAGTGCAGTTCAGAACAGCAGAAGGGTGTGCTGGGCAGAGTGCACCTGGGCTTTGGTGACTTGGGACTGGACATACAAGGAACATGAAGAAGGGCTACATCGCGCTGTGTTGAATTAGACTTGCAACCCTCTAATTCTTTGTAGGTGGATGTGAAGTCAGCTGGGAAATGCAAGGGTTGTACATTATTAAAAAATATATTTTATTTCTAAATAAAAGCATGAAATTTATATGCTTTCATCCATCATCCAGTGCCTTCCACTCAACAGCTTAAGGAGCTCTACAAGCTCTTGGCAAAAGTGCCATTTGCTGTGGTCAGGAAGAGGCCACAAATTTTGCAACGACCGAGCATGATGCCAACCTCATGAAGGCAACCAGAATCCTCATAGAAGAAAACATTCCACTGGATCTCCTGTGGATTTCAGAGGGCCAGACTGGTGACAGGAAAAGGATATAATGGGGAGACATAATCAGACCATTTCACCGAGTCAGTATCAACTCTTTCCCATGGAGATTCATGCTCCGCAGCTCAGCTCCACCATTATACCCAGCTGATGAATTCAGAGCAGATCTGTTGGGTTTTTCTTGCAGGGGCCCTGAGATGACACATTGCTAGGACAGGCATGCACATCCTGCAAGGGTACAGGAGCATTTCCCTGCACAGGGACTCTGATCAGTGACATGGCCTCAGCCCTACTTTCTCCCCAGCTAATATTGTTTTTCTACTACAAACCAACTATTGCAGATCAATAATACGCTGGCTTTGTAGGGATTATATCCTGAACTTTGAGTCTACAGACACAGCAGCACTGAAATCTCAGAGTCCTGACACTCAGTGTTCTCCTGGCACAGACTTGTTCACTCTGATGGGCTGTGCTGCCCTGATATTCTAATAATGGAGGATCACCTAAATTTCTGTTTTCAGGGGGTGCGAGTATAAATAAAGAACAGTTTAAATCAAATACCCTTTTTAGGAAACATACATTTTGAGGAAGGGGTTAAGTTCTGGATGATGCAAACTTTCTCAGCACTCCCCTGACAATCAGAGTAGTTTGGAAAATGTTATCTTCTGAACAATCAGAAGCCTGGGAACACCAGGTTTTCTCTTTAGCAGAGAATGGCTGTCCATGCAGCAGAGCATCTGTGCTCTTCAGTCTCCCCTGCTGTAAAAATTCCTGCCTGCAGTGAAGGAAAGAAAATTGGCTTCAGAACAGGTCTGCTGCTTTACTTGGGTCTTGTGTTTGCAGAATGCAACTGGTTTAATTACACCTAAGACTGTTTTAAGTGCTAGAAAAGCTGTCTGTGTTCACACCAACATATGATCTTTCCATTTACCCAGCTGGATGCTGTTACGAGTTTCCTGTTCATTACCTGTTTGTTTTGGCAGGACTGTTCAAGGGTGACAAAAGCAGAAATCAGTGGCTAAATACAGGCAAATCATCTCTTGTTGATGCTCTGGCTTTAGAGCGAGGGGTTTTTTCTATACACAGGAATTTCAGTGTTCAGACTTAAATAGTTAAGTTCCAGTGATACAGAATAGAGTGACTGAAGCTGGTTTTTTACAAGGAGTTTAAAGGAAAACATCAAGGACTTGTTGGAAGGCAAAAGAAAGAAGAAGAAAAGTGGAGAAAAAAGAATGTGAAGAACATGTTGCTGTCAGAGACAATTTGAGAATGGCTGGGAAGTTTAGGAATGCCTGTGTGTGTAGTCAAGTGATGGCGAGACAGGGGAGCTGCTGGGGCAAAAACCTCTGTGAGAACAATGGACCAAAGGAGTCCTTGTGTCACCATGTTTCTGGAAGTATGTGGGCCTCTACAAAACCTGAGAAAGCCGCTGTGGAACCAAGACATGATGTAGGAGAAAGTCTGTAGCCATGATATTATGAAAATCCTTTGCTGGGATTTTTCCTCTCCTGAGAAGCTGAGGAGCCTCAGGAGAGAAATGTAAACAATTACTATCTGTTGCTGTGGAATGCAACAGGTGCATCTGTGATTGGTCCATGTGGATTGTTTTCCATTGATGACCAACCACAGCCACCTGTGCCAAGGCTGTAAGCAGTCACAGGATTTTTGTTATTCTATTCTGTTCTGTTCTTGTTGTAGCCTTCTGATCTCTCTGTTCTTTTAGTATAGCTTTAATGTAGCATTTTAATATAATATCTAACATAATAAATCAGCCTTCTGAAATGGAGTCAAGCCTCGTGTCTCCACACACGGAGAGTCCTCAACAAAAGTCCAGCCAAAAAGCCCTGAGTCCCGTTGGGTGCACTCACCTTAGGGAGGCTGCTTGAGCAGCGTGTGTTGAGGGCAATGGCGGCAAAAACTGGATATTTAAACAGTGGCTCTGTTAGTGCAAATAAATCACCTAAGGCTCCTGTGAGAAAGGCTATTACAGAAGGAGGGGAAGCTCTTGGGAGTTTATTTTGTAAAATGTGAATAAACTCAGGGATGCACAGAGACTCCAGGGAGTTGTTCTGGCACGTCAGGGGAGCCACCCTGTACTAGCACAGCCCTTTCAGACAGTCACAGCAACCCTCAGGAAGGGGTGTTTCCCTCTGCCATCAATGTTTCCCTGCCACAAGTTCCTCTTTCCCAGCTGACCCCTGAGATAGGAACCTCTGTTCTCCCAGTATGTGGGATTAACAACAAAGATCCTCTATGTGGACACAGAGAAGAGGATAGTCCATCCCTTCTTCTGTAAAGATTTGCTCTGAAGAATGATTCCATGCTGGCCCCTTGCCACGTAAAGCCCTGTTTCCAGTCCCATGGCTGTGACTTTTGGGACAGAAATATTACACATATTGATAACCCAGATGTGTCAAGGTAAGCCATACTGCTGTGTGCAAAATGGGTGTCAATGAGTTTGCAGCCAAGATTTCTGTCTTGTCTTGTCTTTCTTGCTCCCAAAGATCCTAAAATGTTTCTTAGAGGAAAGATTGAGCCCATGTACCTCACTCAGCATGGGATTGCCTACTGCTCCCAAAACTTCTGTTGCAAGAGACACTGCACTTCAGCAAATAAAGAAAATTGTTTAAATCCTACATTCATGAGTATTTTTACCCAGAAGATATCCATCCTGTCTAGTACAAATTCCTTGCTGTCTCACTCTGCTTTGTGCTTATTGTCATTGTAGCTGAGTCTTTCTGTAATTCATCCCAGAACATTCATAAAGCTTCAGGACCCTGTGCTCCAAAAGGGGGGACAAAGACTCACCCCTGCTCCTGAGCAGCATGTGCAGAGGCTTAGGGATGTGCAGGCACAGATACCTCACTGAGTCCCATTTTGTATCTTAGCCTATGTGATCGAAGGGGTTCAGTCCTGCCCTGTTACTCCATGGCTCTCAGGCTCTGGGACTGCATTCTGCTTCTGCTGGATGGGGTTTCTGCTCCAGTCCCAGCTGGCTCAGGTCCAAGCAGAAGTAGGAGGACCCACTGTCGAGTAAAAAGTGCTCTTTGTGTGATTGATGACCCTTAACAGAGCCAGCCCTCTCACTCCCCTGGCAGCCCCACTCCAAGCAAGCACCACGGGGTACCCAGTGCTGCCTCTCACGTGGGAACAGAGAGACATTGCCCATTCAGGGATTCACTTGCCATTCAATCCCTGGTGAGTGGCTGCAGCCAACAGAGGTCCAGCTTATCTTGCACCTTTTAAAAGCAGAGGTATGTTGTTCATCAATGTATAACATCATGTGACACCCAGCCGACCACCACGGCCCTACCTGCCCTGGCAGCACCAACCCCTTTGTGCTGCCCACCCAGCTCCAGCTTTTGTTCCCAGGCAGGTCTGCAGTGGAGTGCTGGACATCTGGGCCTGCCCACCGTGCAGCACACTGTGCCTTTGCCAGGCTGCCATTGTGTGTGGCCACTGGGCTCGCACAGCAGGCTGGCATGTAGAAGGATGGCATCTCAACCTGCAGCTCCTTTCTTCTCCCCTCAGCTGACAGCTATCAGCAAGGCACCATCCCAGTGGTAGACCAGCAGCCCCATCCCCTTTACCCTGTTTTTTCCCCTGGGTGTGCAGCCAGCTGCATCCTCTTCATTTTTGGACAAGGTTGCCTGCAGCCCCAGGTGACCCTGGTGTGGTCTCATAGTGGAAGCCATGGGGGTGCCCCTGAGTCCTTCCCTGGCCTGCCCATGGACCAGGGCTGGGAGCCTGCAGTATATGCTCAGGAAGTACTTGCTAATGGAGCAGGAGGCATTTGGCTTTTTTTTTTCCAGCCAAACACAAGTGGCACCTACAAAACTGTGGCATCGCTGGAAGCCCCTGGCTGTGCCTATCTAGGTTCCCCTGCCCTGGTGCTGCTAACCAGGCCATGCACAGTGTGACAGTGATGCCCCCCCTCCTCATGCAAAGGGGTAGCTCAGCCTTACACTGACTGCATGGAGATAACACAAAGACTCAGCTCCTTTTTGCACTGGGGAAACTGCTGGAATGCCATCCAATGGTGGGTTACTGTAAAGGCCAAACCAGAAAGTAGAGACCCAAACCCCATTGATCTGAACAAAATAACTTGCATGACCTCACTGAAGCTCTGTGCACCCCTGATATCTCTCAACCAGTGCTATCAGCAGCTGCCTATCCCAAATAGTGCAACATCACTGCCAGCATTTAGAGAGCCTGGCTCACTTTTATGGGTCTGGAGCAGATGGAGGGAGCAGGGAAGGAGAGGAAGGGGTGCCGTGCCTCCTATTTGTAAAGAAAAACAAAGCTAAGATCAGCCCCAGGCCTGGCCTTAGCTGGCTAGTTGTGTTTTAAATAGGTGGCTGGAGTTCATCACATCAGATGTTGTTGCAAAGGAGCTGAGCTCCTGTTAAGTCTGAAAGGGGGTTGTTTATAATTTATGGGTTTTAAATGATGGGCCAAGAAAAAGTCTGGCTTGTGCCAAAGTGTATCTCTCCTCTAGATTGCTGATGCTTGTACAAACATTGTAAAAATGCCAGCAATCTTGCTAAAGTTACATTACTTCTAATAATTAGGTTATCATCATGGACTTCTATTGCATTACAAAGAAGACGCCTCTGCCAGAGTCACGGAGAAGAAAGTGAGTTTATTTACAAGAAGATTCTCCCTCACACAAGCTCCTCCTCCTCCCCCACTGGAAACCATATCTGCTGGCCCCATCTTTCTGCAACATGAAAGTGATTCAGGACAGTGGGCCTCAGTAACACTGTGTTTGTGGTCGGGGCTCCTCTGAACTCCCTTCCTTCCCCAGATCTCTAAACAGCCTTTTCTTTCTTAACAGATTTGATGAAGGACTAATAGTGTAAGTCGGGGCAGACCCTGTTTGACTAACAGCCTACAGAGCACAAAGCAAAAGGGAAAAGGACGCTGGGTGTCCTGCAGAAATGGTGGTGCCTTGCTGTTTCACCAATAGAAGTGGGTGATGCAAAATATGTTGTGTTTCAAGAACACACAAAAAACCTACATGGACAATTTTGTTTGTGGACACATTGATTGCAGAAAGTTTTGGAGAGACAAATGTATGTATATATTTATGGCATATTACAGAAGTATCAATCACAAGTGGTGTCTAGCATTACTTTTTTGTGTTGTTTGTATGTTTTATTTACTCCTGGGTGGTGTTTCTAAGAAACAATTTGTGCAAAAACTTCCATAGAATAGAATTTTAGGGCTTAAAAGGGTTAAAATATGTCTCCAAACAAAGAAGTTTATTCTGTTCTGTTTACAGATCTGTAACACATATATCCAAATTTGCTTGGTTAAAAGTGGAATTTAACAAAAGATACACTTTTCACTGTATCACAGCATTGCTGAAATCTCACAGAGGGGAAAACAAAACCCTAAGTAATATTTTAAATCATTAGTGTTCAGCTGAACATAAATACCAAATGGCAAAGAATAAAGCAGGGATGGGATGGGAAAGAAAAGAAGAATAAATAAAAGAAAACTTGTCTGTATTGACCAGAATGGGAGGTGGCAAAATATTTCTCACAATAGGAATGCCAGGTCTGTCATTAGAGGATGGTGTAGGAGCTGCAGTGTTTGTCAGACTGGAAAGCGATGCATCAGACGCTTTGGTGGGGAATGTAGAAGTTTGGATTAATATTTAACTCGACACTTTTAGAAAGAGACAAGAATAGTCTTCTCAGAGCGATATGTACTGTCAAGAAGAGACTTTAATCACAGCGTTTACAAAAGAAGTATCTCTGTAAATCCAGCGAGTTCAATACAGCCGTGTAACTAGAGAGGAGGAAACACCAGGGTTCAGAGCATCGTTCCCTTTCTTTTTCCATTTTTTTTTTATCTTCTTGTTACTTTAATTTTTTCTTCCCCGTGTTAAGTGTCCTGTTTGTGGCAGGGAGAGGTGGCGGTGCCCCCCTGCCGCGGTCAGGCCGGGTGGGACTGTCCTTGCCGGGCACCGGGGGAGCGCGGCGGCACCGCCCAGCCACTGCCCGCACCCCGAATCAGCGTCTCCCTTCGGCTGTGTGTATCTGATTGTCAATTTTCTTTCAAAGTTTATATTTATGGAAAGAAAGAAAAAAAAACACAAGAGGAAAAGCTCGGCCTTCCAAAGATGTCTAAAAATTGATTTATGGTTAGTATAAAGACAACAGTATAAAAATAACAAAGGAGGTGGCAGCTGCTGCGCGGATTGCTATGGAGACCCTAATGAAATTAGCACTATCAGAGGGTTTCTAATTTTTTTGCCTTCTAAGCTCCTAATTTCTTTAAAGTTTTGGATAGCCAGAGTGTAATTTAAAAGAAAAAAAAGAAAAAAAAAAAAGAAAAAAAAGAAAATAGCCCACCGAAATAATATGCACGATAGATACCCAGCCAATAAATAAATGTTAACCTCACCGAGGTTTTTATATGCAGGATTTGATCTGAAACAAGATGGCCAAGAGCCCCTCTTTGTAGATCGCCTCCTCAAAGCGGCTGCGCTTCCAACTAAAGGTGGCTTCACGCGGCCGAGCCAGCTGCCAGCCACGCCACCGAGGCGCTCGAGCGGGGCCAGCCGATTAGAAATAAATACTTTAAAAATACTTTCAATATTTTTTTAAAGTGTAACGGCTCTTTGTGTGATGCCACAGTTTGTTTTACTCTATTAATGATTTACGACTTGCTGTCTTAATTAATCCTTACATAAACTACAAACACCAGCCACTGTTACAACTGTTCAAGACTACTCTCTCAACTAGCTCAGACCGATTATACTAAATAGGTGAAATGTAAGTCACCACGGACCTGAATCCCTCTCCCGAAGTATTGGTGAAGAAACTCTACAAATACCCACATAAATACATTAAGACGAGGATAAATAATCAGTGATACAAAAAATGTCTCGCTTAAAATAATAAATACATATCATTTAGTCCAATGCGATCCTTACGTTACGGAAGAACTCATAAATTAACTTCTCTGAAATAAGCTTACGCGCGGGCGAGTTCCGACGGCTCACGACTGGTCTAAAACACCTCAGCATGACGCGCTGCTAACACTACAGCATCTCTAAGACTTACCTTCAAGTACATCATTACCAGCTTATCAGTCCCTCGGTTGGCAGTATATTGCACTGTCATGCTTAAAACAGCTCTAAGAGAAAGGCTCCTGTTCACGGACCTACTCGGGGCTGCGGAAGAAAGAAGGGAGCTGCTAAGGGAGACAAATCCACTAATACTGTTGGCACTCGAGAGCACAGTAACACTGTCCCGTCAGAAAAGTGAGGTAATGGAGAGGGGAGCGGGGCCCGCTGGCCGCCGCCCCGCTACAGATGCGTGAGCTTGGGCGCCTCCTGCATCCGTCCCTGAGAGGTGTGGTGAGAGGAAAGGTCCGTGTAGGTAGGGTGGGGGTCGCAAGGTCCGTGGTGGTGGCCGCCGGGGATCTGGGCGGCGCAGCTGTAGTCCACGCTGGCGGAGGAGGGGTGCTGCAGGTGCCCCAGGTTGAACATGGGGCCTGAGGCCGGCATGGAGTCCACGAAGTTGCCCCCCACGTAGACGGGGCTGCCCTGCAGGCTGGGGTTGGCGAAGCCGCCGCCGCCGCTCTGCATGGGGTGGGGGTCGTACTCCGCGCCCGCGTAGCGCTTCTGCTGCGGCAGGCAGCTGCTCAGCGGCGCCGTGTAGGCGGCCAGCCCGTACATGCTCTGCTGGGACTTGGCGAAGGAGGTGGGCGAGGGCGCGTCGTAGCTGAGGCTGTTGACGCCGGGGAGCTGGCTGGAGTAGCCGACGTGGTTTGGGCCGCTTAGAGGGGGGCTGCGGTCCGGGGACTGTCCAACGGGGGAGTGCATGATGCCTTTGGCTTTTTGGTCCTTTTTGTACTTCATCCGGCGGTTCTGGAACCAGATCTTGATCTGCCGCTCGGTCAGGTTGAGTAGGTTGGCCATCTCCACGCGGCGCGGCCGGCACAGGTAGCGGTTGAAGTGAAACTCCTTCTCCAGCTCCACCAGCTGCGCGCTGGTGTAGGCTGTTCGCACCCTCTTGGAGGCCGGCCCGGGGGGGCTCTTGTCCTCGCAGCTCTCTCCTGCGGGGAAGAGGCACAAAGAGACATTGGTTCTCCACACGAAAGACAGCCCCCCGTTCCTCCCGGGGTCCCTCGGAAACCTGCTGTACCCTCTCGCTTTGTCGGCGCCCGGGGAGGGGGTGCAGAGGACCCGGGAGCGGCCTCCCACTCCTCGCTGCCCGACATACACACCCTCCCGCAGCTGCCTCCCCCCAGAGACCACCAGCGGCCACCCGTCCAGGCAGCCCGCCCCCAGCCTGTCCCACCTGCAGCGCCCGGCAGGGCTGGGACCGCTCAGCGGGGTGGGGTGGGGGGATAGGTGGGCGATGGCAGCTGGAGGAGCAGCAGACAAGGCCCGGAGCCAGGGGGTTCAGCCCGACGGGTTCAGCCCGAGGGACTCAGCCCGACTCTCCGGGCTAGGAGTGGGTCGGGGCGAGGGTTTTGAGCTACCTGGGGGGGCGCAGGTGCTTTTCTGCTTGGAGTTCTGCCGGGACTCCTTCATCCAAGGAAATATCTGCTTGCTGAGGGTGGCGCTGGCCGAGCCCGAGGAGTTGGGGCCCCCCTTAGCTTTTTTCGGAGGGGGCACACTGGGAGGGGGGTTGGGCGGGGAGGAGGGCGGCAGGGCCGGGGGCTGGTGCTCGCCGATCCCCGGGGGCTGACTGCCCCCGGGGCCGCCCCCGCCCGGCCGCATGCAGCTCCCGCTCAGCTCGCTGCCCTTGTGGGCCGGGGCGCGGCCGGGCGCCGAGCCCTGGACGGAGCAGGCGGAGCCGGGGTACTCGCCGTCCAGGCCGGCCTGGCCGTAGGGCTGGTGGGCCGCGCCGTAGGGGTAGGCGTCGGCCTTGCTGTAGGTGTAGCCCCCGAAGAGCCCCGCGTTGTCGTAGTAGGCGGCTTTCTGCATCCTCTGCTCTGCGATCGCCGAGGCCCGCGGCCCCCGCTCAAATAACATTGACCGCCGCCCCGCGCCTCACGTCGTCGGCCCGGGCCACTCGCAGCCACCTGGGGAGAGAAACAGCCGGGACACAAAAGAGACTTTTAGAGGGGGAAATCGGCTGGTAGCGGCTGGCACGGGACGGTTCCGGCACCCCCCGCCTCCCGGCACCCTCGGCCTCGGCCTCCCATCCAGGGGAGGGCTGGGAGACATCAAGGAAGGAGCAGGGGACCCAAAGAAGGACCAAGAGACAAAAGGAGAGGAGCAGGGTCACCAGGCAGGAGTCAGGGCAAACTGGGCCATACCAGGGAGAGAGCAGAGTACACCAGGGAAGGACCCGGGGCACTGCAGGGAAAGAGCCACCCCAGAGCGATGTGCAGGGCGGAACGGAACACATTGGCGGGACATCCTACAGGCCACCTTTTGAAGCATTTTGGGGGATGTTTTATTCGCTTTGTTTTGCCTTTGCACCGTTCCCGCTCCAGTTTGGCTGGATGGGACCCCGCGGTTGTAGGCAAGGGCTCTCAGGGAGCAAATGTGCTGGCTGGTGTCCCCAAAGACCCAGTGGCCCATTTCGGGCGAGAGCATCCGCGCCCCCCGCCCCGCACGCGTGCGCACGGCCGTGCGCGGTTGACATGATGGATGGAGCCCGGGCTGCGGCCGGGCAGAGGCAGAAAAATCCCGTCCCCTTTGTAAACCCGCCCTTCTTCTTTCCCCGGATTCCTCCAGAGTTAAAGTATAACCGGCGCCATTCACTCCCTTTACTTTGCACTATAAAGGAAGTCGCAGGTCAGCTCCCCTATTTTGATTCTGTGATGAATTAAATTCCCTCACCCAACGTTTCTCGTCCCTTTTATTTGTACCCAGTAGAAAGAACCTGAGACATTTGAGGTAATTTTTAGAAGGTTCTTTTCTTTTTTCGGCCTGCAAGCTTATGGCTCTCCCCTCCCCGCCCCCCGGCTCCCACATGAGGCTGCTCCCACCGAAAGGCACGGTCCCCTTAGGGCAGATGTTTTGAGGCAGGGTGCTGTTACCTTTCTCCTTGCTGCTCCCAAAACTTCTCTGCGCTTAGTACAAGATGGAAACTGTTCTGCAATTTTAGTGCGCCTTTTTAATATTCCCTGCTCTTATTTTTCTTGTGGGATAGGGGTTTTCTCTGACACTTTTGGCAATTTTGTAAATTAGCACATACTTCACCTGACAATGTAAGTCTGTAAATCAACATATCTTGAGACTTCCTTGTATTTCTGCAGGATTTAAGGCTACTAACATACTAGAGCAAAGTAGCTAGAAATCTTTGAAAGATGTCCGACAATTATTGTTCTCGTGCCTATACTTATGCAATACTAGGAGAGTACTCTTCTTTCTCTCGCAAGTACCCTTGGTCCCGCCAAGTATCGTTGATCTGTTCTCTAAAATTCACCGGCAAACACATCTCTGTAAGTCAAAATAACCTCAGCGAGCTGCGATCCACGGCCGCTCTAGGCGGTTTATCCCGTGTCACAGACAGCCGGGGTCCTTTTCTTTCCTAAACAAAAGCTTGAGATGATCTGTGGAGCTGACAGAACGGGAATTGGTTTTTTCTCCTGGAAAATTTTTGTTTTAAAAGTCTTCAGATATGGACGATGGCGATAAAAATTAGTTTTAGTACGATGTGATAATCTTGACGAGTCTTGAAAGTATTTTTGCCCAAATAACTCTGTCTCTCTTTTCCCACTTCTGTCATCTACATTTTCGGGACCGGTCTGGACTGAGGACTTTTGTTAGCACAACACTGCCTTAAGCGTAGGCTTTTATATGCCTTGTGAAATATAGTTCCCAAAAGAATACACAGAATCTTAAGAAAGAATATTGCTGTTAAGCTGTTAAAAGCCTTATTTCTTTTCTGAAATACCAACTGCTTGTGAACTCTGCTTGAACCTAAAAAGGAGGCTATGGGCCATAAATCACATGGACAATGCTCAACTGTTTGGTGGCTCATCTTTAGATCTTAAAAAGAGAGAGAGGGAGAAAAAGAGGGAGAGGGAGACCTATCCAGGGTTTGATTTTCCACGAGTGAAAGGCCCGGGGTGATGTTTTTATAGGTAACACCAAAGCAGGGGCTCAACACTTGGTGGTTTGGCCAGAAAGAGCCTACGGGGAAGAAAAAAAAAAAAAAAAAAAAAAAAAACGTGACATCCAAATGGTGAGGCCGAGCCGTGGGAGGTGGGCTTGGAGGCACTGAGGGTAGGAAACCGCAAAGTATCCATGTCTGTGTTTCAGATTTCCCTTCTTCCCCTCCAGAAAGGTTAACCTCATCTGAACTGTTAGGCGTTGCACATGATAATGGGACTTTTTGTCCTGCCGCTGGTTCCAGTGCTTTTGCGGGACGCCGACCCTCTCGCGGCTCTGCCTGGAGAGCAGCTGGGAGCCCAGGCGTCCAGCCGCGCGTGTGCGCGGGAGCCGGCTGGCCCAGGCGCTGCCAGTCGCTTTCCTCCCGACACTTTCATATTAAGCAGTTCTCTACTAAAACTTCCACTACACTTAATTCTGCTTCGGATCAATATCTAATATGATACCGAATAAATAAGAGGCGGTGAGAGCGGCCAGCGAAGCGGTTATTAAAGCAGCCGGAGCTCTCAGGGTGCATATCAATGCACCTGTCATTGCGGTTGTAGCAAAATTTATGACTGCTAGCGCCGTGGCAGTAAACGCTCCGGCCAGGAATGAAAAGGAAAACACTTCCCAAGCCCCGGCACTTTCAGAAGTGCAAAGCAGCCGGCGCGTAGGAGGGAGCCCGGCAAAAGAATCCCCCGCTCGGCACGTTTCCCGGCCGCCGGCCCGGGGCAGCCCTGTATATAAGGAAAGCGCTGGGGCCGCCGCCGGACCCGGCCGCAAGCAGGGCAGCCGGGCACCCACCGCTGGGGCTGCGCCGGGGCCGCGGATGTCTCGTCTTTGAGAGCACTGGGGAGCGCGAAGGGGCCCTGCGGGACGCGGAGCGGGGCCGCCCTGGGGCCTCTCAAACCAGCTATGGAGCCCCCCGGGGAGCCACCCGCTCCCCGCCGCTGGGTCCAGGCCTTGGCTGCTCCCCAGCCGGGCTCGACTTGCGCGGAACAGGGGCGGCTTCCAGCGGGGCTTTCTGCGGGCCGTTCTTTATCTGACGTGGGGGGCGGCGAGCCCGGGGTGCAGCCGCCGGCGGGTTCCACCGAGCAGCTCTCCCGGCTCGGAGGGCATGGGCCGGGGCCGGGCTGTGCTCCCTGCGACGGGCCTGTCGCGATAGGGAAAGCGAGAGATGGATGGAAAAGGAAATTTAGAGAACTCACCAAACTTACGTTTTTTCTTGATTTTTGACTTTAACTGTGTGAGTAGGATCTTCAGGTTCCTTTGGATAATCCGTGGGCACGGACCTGCAACAGAAGTGATAACTCTCAGCGGAAACTGCTTTGTTTTGGACTTTCTTCCTTAGGACTTTGTTAATAAATGCACATCTCGTCCGCAGCCCCTCACCGTGTCTTTCCGTCCGCGTCAGATCTTTTACCAGACAAAGGGTAGATGTTTCTCTTCATTTATTAATAGCGCTTTGAGAGAAGCGGGGAGCAAACAAACGTGCAAAGTGCTCCGGTTGCGGCTGGGAGCCGGGCAGGGCGGCCTGCGGCAGCCGCTCCGGCGGGCCCCGAGCCCCGGCCACGAACCCATGCCTGCCTTCCCGAGCAGCCAGCCCAGCCCCGGCCGGGACGCGGGGAGGCAGCGCACGGGGAAAGCGAGCGCCTTTGCGGGGGAGCTGCGGGCGCCTTCGAGGGTCACAAGCACCTCTCCCGCCGCCCGCACCCACGGCCCGCGAGGAGTTCCGCGGAAACGAAGCTAGCGCGGGACTGTCTCCGTTTCTCCCCCCAGATACCGAATAAGACCGAGAGAAAGATAAGCGAAGAAGTCCCAGCATTGAAAATCCTCTGCAAACATTTGCGTCTCGAAATTAGTATTTTGCCTTTGTCTGTGCAATGTGTCGATTCAGGACTTTAAGAACTTAAGAGTGCCAGAAAATCCCCCACAAAGAAGCCCAGGTCATTATAAAGACGATATCTAGCCACCATAAGCCTTTGAAATGACCTTTGGCTCGTATAGCAATAACTCACCACTTAATGAACAACCAACGGAAGCGCCTCCGATAGCTCACAACACAACAGATCTTACAACTTTCCACCAAGTCTTCTCTCTCCCTAACCAAACTCAGTAGGATGCTACATTCCCCTTCCAAATCACCTTAATTTATGCTGGCAAACTGGAGTTAGGGAAGTGGAGCTTCATGATTACACATGATGCTCGCTCAGGTTCCTGGCCCAGGCCTGTCCCGGTAACGTCTTATATAATGTATTCACGTGGGCGTACGTCAACTTTAAGTGCTTTATTTTTTTAAAAGAGAATTCATTAGAAATAGCACTTTACACGGTGTATGAAGGCAACCTAAAGTGGGTTGCACCTTAGCCCCTGAGCGGAGAGATCATAATATTGCAAACCAAGTCATTGTTAGCCGCTGTTGATTAACACGGTAAGTTTTCATTTTGTGCCTAATTAATTATCGACTTCTCATCCCTTTCCGAAGCAGCTTCTCAGCCTCACAAGAGATAGCCTTCTAGCTCTAGACATGCTTTATTTAGCCAGAGCTTGGCCAAATACCAAGACTTCCACGGCCACAGGAATAACCCCCAAAGTTTGTACTGCGGAGAGAGGAGTCTGGGCACGCTGGGGTTGTGCTCGTCTCCCAGCGCTCGGAGAAGACGTTGCCAGAGCTGAACCCAGGGAAATCTTTAGAATTATTCAGGCGTGGGACCAGTATAGGTATTATTGAAATTTTAGGTGAAGTTATAAGTGAGTGCTTCCATCGAGCCAAATGAAATGCTGCTTGCAGTAATTGGATTCAGCTGACTAACTTGGCAGGCCAGCAGCTTGGAGGCATACAGCTAAGAAAAATGTTCAGTGCTTTTAACTTCTGATCGAGCAGAGCAACACGCAACAGAAAATAATAAATAAATAAATAAACAAACAAACACCCTAACTTTCTCCTTTTCCCTTGGCCTCCCACCTATTTCCTTCGGGGCTCTCCGACCCCCGCCGAGGACTCGCCCGGGTGACTCGGGGAGGGCAGGGTCCGTTCCAGCCTTACACACATTCTCGCTCGACAGCACAACGCTGGGCTTTATGCAGGGGCTTTACAACAGACATAACCGAGAGTTCACCCGGGCTCCAGGCAAGCCACCAGTCAGTAGAAGCAGGCGTTCCTGGGAGAGTCGGGCTAGTTGCAGCAGCCCAAGCGGGAGCTGAGCTGTGTTTGAGGGGAGGCTGTGTGGCCACTTCCAGACCCCCAGTCCGCCCAGAGGCACCGGTCCCCCCCAGGCATCTTCCCACCGCCTTATTGATCAAACCACACAAATGCAGGGCAAGAAACTTCTCGGTAGATAAATATCAAGCCGTGCTTCAAGTCGCAAGTGTAACTCGAAGGCATGAGCATACTGGTAACAACAGTACTAAAACAACTGCGGAAGGAACACAACAGCCACTAAGGAACACCAATGCGCTGCCAGGGAAAAAGGTTCGGGAAGACACTTGGCACGAACATTTGAGAGATCCTATGTTTGGGCTACGTTACCGATGAGCCTATTTTAAATCGCCCTTTACAAATCAACACGGCTACCCCCTGCCCGGCTAACCACGGCAACGCATTAACGTGATGCTCAATCTCACTTTGGCAATGGGAGCATCTAGCAAAGTTCTCTCGCTCGTTTGTTTGCTTATTTGTAATTTCCTTCCTGAAACCACCGAAAACTGGGGAAAGGACATGGTTAAACGTATTCCCCTAGCTTTTGGAAATGAGTTCACTTTTTATTTAAAGAACATAATAAAAAGAAGATACAGCTCAAAACGTTCAAGTAGGTGGAGACCACTCCATACATTTGCAGCCACTATGGGCAGAGATTGCAAACAAATTCCAGACCGTCTCTGAGTAAAGGAGATAATACAGCCCCTGCGGTTAAACGTCCCATTTTGTCATGCAGTTGCTTACCTGTGTATCAATTTATCATAAACCTGGGTTCCTCACTTTTCAGGATCTGCGCTTGCAGTTCTTAGAATATATCCTTCACCCTTTGTCTGCAGACAATACTCTCCTAAACCTGATCTTGCGGTTTTACAAATATTTCCATACACCAGAATTCCCGATAGAACGAAAACAGGCTCAGGCTCAACTACCAATAAAAGAGAGCGAGTGGAAATCGGAATTTGTTGGGCTTTAAAAAAAAAAAATCAACACACAACCCTTTAGCCATCAGCCTCCTGGAACCAAAGACAGCAATTGGCCGGCTCTTGTTTTGTTTTGGTTTTAAATCGTGCGGCCATTGATGAATTTTGGGGGCGAGCAGGAGAAATCCCTTTATAATCAGAAATATAGGCACTGCCTTAAAATACAGGCATATTGGCCCACGTGATCGCAGAGCAGCGCGCCGGGGCCGAGGCTGGCGCGCTCCCCGCGCCCCCCCGCTCCGCTCCGCACCGCTCCGCACCGCGGCCCCCGCACTTACGCGCCCCGCGGGGCTGGCGAGCAAGGGAAAAAGGTGAATTCCGCGGGATGATCCCAGCGCGTAGAAATTCCCAGCGGAGACAGAGGAGGTATTTGGAACCAGCTGCGGCCGGGAGCCTGTGCCGGGGGCAGCTCCGCAGCAACGCTGCTCTGGCGGACAGGCGCTGGGGCCCACTGGCGTGCGCGACTTTTTGCTTTCTCCTTCTCCGGACCGGGAAGATGCGGGGCAGCGGGGACTACCCCTGTCTGGAGGCTAAACAAACGTTGGGGGGAAAAACCCTCACGACATTTGTGCGTGTGTGTGTCTGCCCTGAGCCTGCCTCCCTGCTCTGTGTGTGTGAACAGACATGGAGCAAAGCCTGTGTATATCTGTCATGAGTGCCCACAAAGCTCCCCAACAATACCAGCTAGGCAAAAGGAAAATATATATATGTATTAGCTTCTCTGTTTGATTTTTTGTAACATATCTGTAGCTATAAATACACCACACCTAATCTAACATCTGCTATGATTTCATTACCATCCAAAGCATGTGGATGTGACAGTAACGTATTACCTTACAATACTAACCGTAAGTGCATTGTAACATTTATCTAAATTACATTGCTTTTCCTGACTTTGCAAACCAGTTATAAAAAGATTGGAGTCCAGTGATGGAAACATAAGTTCAATGTAAATTATTGTGTATGGCGTCGGATTTATAATCCTATATTTCTTCGAAATGGTGCACTTAAATCTCGCCTCAAGAAAGAGGTAATGGTTCTTTATATCCTTTTTAGTCAGCCATATATTTTGGTGTCTGGGTAGTTTTGCCGAGCCCCCCGCGCTCGCGTGTCTGTGTGTACATACAGCAACCCCTACACGCACAGCGTGTTCTGCATACTTGTGTACATGCACACAAAGCCGAACATAATTCTGGCCGCTGTTTAGACATTTTGGATGACGGAGAGGTCTTTAGCTTCCTACACAAAAGTGAGAGGGGGAAAGCTGGACACGAGCAAAGAACACGAAGAGGATTCAGAAGAAAATGCCTTTTTGGAGGGCAGTTCGGAACCCCCCGGAGAAAGCCTCCCAGCCCTTCGGTGTCTTTTCAGAGTCTAGTGAAAAAAGAAAAAGAAAAAGAAAAAGAAACGGGGGAAAATAGAAAGAAAAAGAAAAAACAGGCAAATTTCACGTGAAAATGGAGGACGGCTGAAAGAAAGGAGCACCTTTGCCACCAACGCCAGAATTAAGATATCGTAAAGGGGACTGAAAAAGTATTAAGGAACTGTTAATCCTTTGGCTGGTGGGACTCCAGCTTTGCGCGAATTTGTCTCCAGTAAAGGATCTAAGACTTCTTCAATCGGAGCATATGTTCATAGAGCAATAAAACAGAAAGATTTACAGTCTCCGCCCGCCCCCCAGCAGCCTCGCACCCTTTCAGGAATTACTTATGATGATTTATAACAACAACTCCGGCAATTGTCAAACTGATAAAATAGCCCGGGCTATATGCGAGAATAAACGCTCTTATGAAAGGGTTGCGATTTATGTTCAGGTCCATTTTACTGCGTGTCTTGGTGGAGTTTGGTTTCTTTCCCGGCCCAATAGGATAATATAAAACTTCATTGATAAAAATGTAGGAGTTCTCGTGAAGTAGCGAATCTGTTCCTTAGTCACTACCACAGCACATAAACATTTGTCATTTTTGAATAATTGAATTAATGTGTTATTGTTTGAATGTATAATTCATAACATAGGAAACTTTGTCTCTGTCCTGCCACCGAAACGGAAGCAATAAAAAGCTACAATCTAGGGTTTTTAGAAATTACTCCAGCAAGGGATAATAAAGAATAT